AGGACCCACCGAGGGCCCCAGGTCGAGACGAGGGAGGGGGGAGAGAGAAGAATGGCGAGGAGATCAAGGAGTGGGGAGGGAGGTGAGAAGGACGAGGTAAGCATCGAGGAAGAAACAAGTTGTGCGAAAACAAACACATAAGGGCGGCACCGACGCTTCAATACTTGGCGAGAGAATGCAAGGAAATGATAAAAAGACGAGCGAGCCGCAAGCGCACGATGATGAGATGCGAATGTGAGCATTTCTGGCGAAAACAAACCTGGCAGCGTATCCTCGCCGCCCGCATACAGGTAGCACTACAAAGGCATGCGACGAATCATGGAAGGACACGCCGAACAAGTTTTAGTTGCACACGATAAGGGGTATTACAGAAGCACGTCGATAGCGCAGAGGTCGTCAACAAAGAGCTCCACCAGCAGGTATAAGAGGAAAAAGAAGCAACTGCTGAGAAGGAACGGAAGCTGTATGAACTCTGAAATATGCCCAGGCGAATCTGAACGTAAGACTCCAGTGGCCCGTGGACAAGGACTCTCCGTCAGAGCAATCGGAGGCCCCATCAAACGAAACATGAGCAAGGCGATGATGAAGCTTGACCTCGGGCAGGGCGATCACTTAAAGCATGCGCGAGCCACACCCTTCGACTCACTTAGCAAATGGGGCATGCCTCCAATGTACGTTCGGCCGCTCCGTCGTGGGACGCGAGGCCAGGCTGACACGGCTGCCCTGGCATCTGGATACACGACCCCACGGCAAAGACGACGGTGCACACGCCACTGCGTATGAGGATTGGCCGCCTTGAGGTGCCCAGCGCACCCGACCCCCGAATTCGCGTATGTTAGGAGACCACATGCGAACCCTACCCCTACCCCCCACGATTTCTGAGGGGGAGGGTGGGGTTCACTTCGTTCGGGAGCTCTCGAGCGAAGTGAACCCCACCCTCCCCCTCAGAAATCGTGGGGGGTAGGGGTAGGGCTCGCATGTGGACCCCTACATGTACAGCTACACTGCTTCTGGAACCGCTCATTTCCTCCTGGCGCGCTCCTGCACAGCAGCTCCTGCGAACGCCACAGGGGATCCGCAGACACGGAGGAGAAGGCCGCGAGGAGGGGTAGGAGAAGGATCGGGAGCCAGAAGACGAAGACGACGAGAAGGAGGACGAGG